CAGGTACGCCTCTAATATCAAACAAATATAGGACTTATAATGACATTTGGGCAATTCAAACACAAAAGACTTCATGGTTGTTTTAAAATGTGGTCGTAGGGGGCCCTATGGATGGTGTGACGCAATTGCGGGCCCGGGGTCGCCCGAAAATTAGCTCATTTTTAACGATGTGGAGGGCTCGGTATTGACATGATTTGGGTTTACGGGGGGTTCTGTATAAACGACCCACTCCTTTACAACTTCCTTCACAAAACGCGCTCAGCGAGGCAAAGTATGAAAGCCCGACTTTTTGCAGAGGGCCCAAACACCCTTAATCTGCCAGCCATGTAGACCTAGATTGACCATGTAAGCCTTTAAAACTTTTTATAAAGCTTTGGGCCCAACCAATAAAAAGGGCTAAGGTCAATTCCCTCTGAAAGGGGGGACTGCATTTACCCCATCACCTTACGAGTCAGGCTTTTAACTTGCGTTAGCGGCATTGTGACAGAAGACGCAAAATGAGTTTTTTTATACAGGGTTACGCCCCCAAAAATCAACATCTTCAAACGGAGCTTAAGGGCCCCTCCCATTGTTACAAAAATTTTACCACGGGCCCATTTTCCTCAGCGTTCCGGGGGCGCAGAATTTCGTCAACCTTTCCCTAGGGGCCCCGCCACTTTTTGATCAAAATTAAGTTGCCTTTTAACTCATGGAAAGTGTGGCAACATTGTTTTTATGCTGCACACTTTCACCCCCTTTGTCAAAAGTAGGGGGGGTCTTGTTTTTGTGTACAATGAAAGCAGTATGGGCAGACAAATTTTTAGGTGATGGAAAAACCTTTTGGAAACTTATTACGCCCATTGTGCATGTTGCCAAGCTACTTAAATGGGCCTCGGTGGTTCTGGACTAGGGGGAAACGCTCCTTCAACGATGAAAGGGAGTAATTGGGTGCTAGCTCAAAAAACCCAAAATTTCATGAATTTGTCAAGAAAACAAATTACAAATATTTTCCCAAAATGTGAAGAATGAACTTGCTATTTTTTAATTTGTTAACTTTGGGGAAACGGGCATTACATACTTTCGAGAAAAAGGCACAGTATGAAAAATGTATGCACTCCTAACTGTAAACCCTGGATAAAAGCGTCTGCTAAAAACTAAAAAGTAAAGTTTTAAATCTGACTGAGAAAGATTCCCGGGCGATGAGTTAGGGGCCAGATGAGCAGAGGACGTGAACGCGTTGGCGAAGTTGGGGGTGGGGGGTTAAAAGTTCCTCCTTTATTGCCCAAAGGATTCCTATTCCTCCTTTTCTCTAATATCTCTGGTATGGGTTTCTGCAACCCCCCAGGGACCGGGTCTGGGCAGGGGTTTCCCAAAATACTTTTTTGCCACCCCCCTTTTCAAGAAAGGGGGGAGAGGGCCGGGGGGTTGGTGTGGGATTGGGACCCCCAAGGCTCAAAAGTCATTGAAACTGGGGGAAAAATCCCACTGGGGGGTGGGATCATGGAGACATGGAACAGTTCTATTTCAGTGCCAGAAAAATGGGAGGGAAAGGACGATTGTTATTGGATTTGAGGGCAATGGGGTTGAAGACCAAGAAATACACTGGGGAAATCTTCAGGGGATGTTTGGAGATTTAGACCTCCTGTCTCTGGTCCCCACACAAACCCCGTTGGGAGCTGTAATGCACTGAAAATTGGGTTTCCAACCGCCATAAAAAAAAAATCCCCAAAGTAGTGGTTGGGGAGTGACGCACATTTGATAAGCCCCAAATTGGGCCAATCTTTTTTCTCGGAAGGCTGCTTTCCGGAAAATGTCAGCGGCAGCCGTGAGGTTCCGTGCACGGTTTGAGCGATAATCAAAATTTTATACTATCCATTCACCAGAGGGAAGTGATTGAGTGGCTTGAGCTACAGGTCTGTTTGGCATTGTTTTGTGTAAGTTTTAATCGTCGCATTTCCAATCAGTTAATATTGAAGGGTGACGCATCAAAAAAATTGCTAGTAATGCTAAATAGCTAAAAAAACCATATTCGTTCACGTTAGCTAGCAAGCTAACTATCCCGCAAGTTACACCTGTGTGGTTTTTTTTGCAGGTTCTCTCTGCAGAGTGGGGTTACCGGGGGGGCCTGCCTGACATGGCACAAAACCTACGCTGAAGTCCCCAGAGAGTCGGGGCAAACCATGGCCCAAGTGCAAGGGGGGAAATCGCGACGATGTCTTTTTTTGCAAATGTCTCTACCCTTTTGGGGAACCACACAGGAACCGTCGTAGGGGGGCCCGGGTTTTTTCCCCACCATTTCATCGACCAGGACAAATCTGACCCCCTTTATTTTAAAAATTTAATTTTGGCTTTTTTAAATTTTTTTTTTCTTTTCTTTGCCCCAACCGCTTCGTTTTCCCCAAAAAGGAAGTGACAGTAGAGGCTTTCAACAAGCACTGCGCTGGAGCAATGGGAGGTGCCAAAAACTCTGTTTTTTTTGAATGTATACTCATTAGGCAAACATTAGGACACCTTCCTACTATTGATTCCCCCCTTTTTCCCTCAAACGCCTCATTTCGTCGGGGCATGGACTCTACAGGGTTTTGAAAAATTCCACAGGGGTCCCCATGTTGCTCCAATCCCCACTTTTCAATTTTGGATCCTTTTTTTTCCTTCTTATACCCGGAAACTTTTGTTTGGAAAAACCCGCTGTTTCATTTTTTGACACAAACCGGGGCTCCTGGCACCCCACTACCATCCCTTCAAAGGGACTCAATCTTTTTTTCTTTTTCCCACCCTCTAAACCACATCACGTCCTGTCTCGTTGTCTCAAGGCTTAAAAACCCTTTTTTAACCTGTCTCCTCCCCTTCATCTACACAGATTTAAGTCAATTTTTAAAATACACAAAAGGGGAAAAACTTACATCTCTTCCTTAAAACGTTTCCTAATTTTTTTTCACGGGGTTTCTATGTGAGCCTGTTTCAACTAATCCTTATTGTGGGTGATGTCAATCTTTATTTTGTGTTCTGTAACTGAAATCCTATCTGACTGTTTTCTTTTTTCCAGGCCAATTTCACGGTGCGCAAATCCCTACCTTTCCGCCATCAGGAGGGGGACCCATTTTCGTGGAGGACCGGATATCAACCTGGTTTTAAATTGCCCTTTTCCCCCAACATCCCCCAAAGGGGGGTGAGAGACCATGGGCGAGGGATACGCCCATCCCCTTTTTTGAAATCTCCCCTGCTTCTTTTTTCTAGCCCCCCTGCTCTACGTCTACTTCTACTTTAAAATAGTCAATATATGGGACTATGATTTGTTTTTCCCCAAATAGTGAATGTGCTTATCGGATGGGAAAGGGAACCTGGAGCCTCAAAGGGACAGGTAAGGGGCCCCGAGTTTGAACATTGAGTGAAAAATTTACACCCATGCTTTTTTCAATTTTTTTAGCCCCCTCCTTTTCCCTCCTTCACAGTTCCCAGGCTGTAAAACCTCTCTGAGGGTCTGCCAAGTACTACCAACAATCCTCCAAAAAAGGGCCCCCAACCTTTTTAAAGGACCCCCACAACATTTTCCACCCATTGTGCGTTGCCATCACTTAAGGGCTGGGGTGGTTTGGACTAGGAGAGCGCTCCTTCAACGAGTGAATGGGAGTCAATTGGGTGCTAGCTCAAAAACCCAACATTTGCATGAATTTCGTCAAGAAGTACAACATTACAAATATTTTCCAAGATGTGAGAGAATGAACTTGCTATTTGTAATATTGTATAGCTTTGGAATCGTGACATTACATACTTTCGAGAAAAATAGGCACAGTATGAAAAATGTATGCACTCACTAACTGTAAATCGCTCTGGATAAGAGCGTCTGCTAAATTACTAAAATGTATAAGTTAAAATCTGACTGAGAAGAGATTCCGTGACGATGAGTTAGGGACCAGATGACGCAGAGGACGTGAACGCGATTGGTCGACAGTCTGCTGGGTGGGGCGTTAAACGTTCCTCCATTCATTGCCCAATGGGATTCCTATCTCCTCCTTTCTCTAATATCTCTGGTATGGGTAGCTGCAACCCAATATGGCGACCTGGGTCTGGGCGAGTGGGTGTGTCGAAAGGATACTGGGATGTTGCCACCCCCTTCTCAATGAAAGGGCGAGAGGGCCGGGGGGTTGGCTGTGGAGATTGGGACCCTCAAGGCTCAATAGTACATTGAAACTGGCTGGGAAACATCCGACTGGGAGGTGGGATCATGGAGACAGTGGAACACGTTCTATTTCAGTGCCAGAAAAATGGGAGGGAAAGGGAGCGATTGTTATTGGATTTGAGGAGCAATGGGGTTGAAGAGCCAAGATTAAGTGAACAGCTGGGTAAATCTTCAGGGGATGTATTGGGTAGGATTTAGACCTTCCCTGTCTCTGGTCCACACTACAATCCAGTTGGTAGCTGTAATGCACATGAAAATTGGTTGCCAACCGCCATAAAAAGAAATCCGCAGAAGTAGTGGTTGTGGGAGTGACGCACATTTGAGTGATAGCCAATTGGACCAATCTTTGTTCTCGGAAGGCTGGCTTTCCGGAAAATGTCAGCGGCAGCCGAGTGAGGTTCCTGTGCACGGTTTAGAGCGATAACCTAGCAAATTCATACTATCCAGTTGCACCAGTAGGTAAGTGATTGAGTGGCATTGAGCTACAGTCTGTTGGCATTGTTTTCGTGTAAAGTTTTAATCGTCGCATTGCACGAATCAGTTAATATTGAAGGGTGCACGCATCAAAATAAATTGGCTAGCTAATGCTAACTAGCTAACAAACCATATTCGTTCACGTTAGCTAGCAAGCTAACTATACCAGCAAGTTACACCTGTGTGGTTATTTTGCAGGTCTCTCTCTGCAGAGCTGCGGGTGTACCGGGACGCTGCCGTGAGCATGGCGGACAGGGAGGAGAGGCGCTACGCTGAAGTCCCCAGAGAGTCTGTCAAACTCATGGCCGAGAGTGCAGGAGTGGAACTCAGCGACGATGTGGCTGCTTTGTTGGCTGAAGATGTCTGCTACCGGCTTAGGGAAGCCACACAGGTAAACACTGTCGTGAGTGGGGCCAGGAGTTTTCCCTCACCATTTCATCTGACCAGGACAAACTCTGAGCCCCATTCATAGGTAAAGTATGTAAAGTTGGCTATTTGTAGAGATTTGTTTTTCTGATGTGACTTTGACCAACACAGAGCAGCTCTCAGTTCATGAGACATGCCAAGAGGAGGAAGCTGACAGTAGAGGACTTCAACAGAGCACTGCGCTGGAGCAATGTGGAGGTGCAAAAATACTCTGTTTTATTGAATGTATACATGCATTGAGTGTACAAAACATTAGGAACACCTTCCTACTATTGAGTTGCACCACCTTTTGCCCTCAGAACAGCCTCATTTCGTCGGGGCATGGACTCTACAAGGTGTCGAAAGCATTCCACAGGGATGCTGGCCCATGTTGACTCCAATGCTTCCCACAGTTGTGTCAAGTTGGCTGGATGTCCTTTGGGTGGTGGACCATTCTTGATACACACAGGAAACTGTTGATTGTGGAAAAGCCCAGCAGTGTTGCAGTTCTTGACACAAACCGGTGCTCCTGGCACCTACTACCATACCCAGTTCAAAGGCACTACAATCTTTTGTCTTGCCCACCCTCTGAATGGCACACATACACAGTCCATGTCTCAGTTGTCTCAAGGCTTAAAAATCCTTCTTTAACCTGTCTCCTCCCCTTCATCTACACAGATTGAAGTCAATTTAACAAGTGACATCAAGAAGGGATCATAGCGTTCAGCTAGTCAGTCTGTCATTGAAAGAGCAGGTGTTCCTAATGTTTTTTACACTGTGTATACATAATGTGAGCCTGTTTCAACTGAATCCTTATTGCTGGGTGATGTCAATCTTTATTATTGTGTTACTGTAACTGAACTCCTATCTGTACTGTTCTCTTTTTGCCAGGCCATAGCTGGCTACGGTGCGCAAGATGCCCTACCTTTCCGACCGATCAAGGAGGGCGACCTATTCTTCGTGGAGGACCGTGATATCAACCTGGTTGAACTTGCCCTTGCCACCAACATACCCAAGGGCTGTGCAGAGACCATGGTGCGAGGTATGACCGCCGATGCCTGTTATAGAAATGCGTCTCACTGACTTACTAGTTACTAAGCCACCACCTGCAAATCAATAGTCGAATCAATACTAATTCTACTTTAAGAGATATAGTACAATATATGGTGACTATGATTTGTTCTCCTACTAGTGAATGTGTCTTATCTGGATGGGAAAGGCAACCTGGAGCCTCAAGGTACAGGTAAGGGCTCAGAGTAAATTTGAACATTGAGTGATATTTACACCCATGGCTTTTTGCAGAGTTGTCGAGCCCTCCTTTTACCCTCCTTCACAGTTCCCAGTGCTGTACAAACTCTCTCTGAGGATCTGCTCAAGTACTACCAACAGATCACCCGGGCCATACTAGGAGAGGACCCACACCTTATGAAGGTACAGTTTTCTCCTGGCATCAACATGTGATATAACTCTATTGATTGGAGAAACTGTTGAAATCGATCTAACTATTTCTTCATCAGGTGGCTTTGCTGGATCTCCAGTCCAACTCCAAGATTGCTGCCCTCCTGCCATATTTTGTATATGTCATCAGTGGGGTATGTTATACTTACTTGAAACATAACAAATCAAATGTTATGGATGTCACTTCATGCATTCAATTGTCCAGTCGTTTAGTGCCTATAGGGCACTGAGTTTTTCCTGACCAGGAGAAACTCTAGAAGACCCTAGTCATACAGTAGCCTATAACTAGGGCCTGGATTTGATCCTCGTCAGGAAAAAGACCTGACCCTGTCTTTACGAAATGTAGCTAGTACTGTACTTTATATGTACCCCTCTCTCCGCTCTGCCCACCAGGTGAAGTCTGTGAGCCACGACCTGGAGCAGCTGAACCGTCTGCTGCACATGGTGAAGAGTCTTGTGCAGAATCCCTACCTGTACCTTGGCTCCTATGTGCGCAGCCTGGTGTCCAGCGTCATGTACTGCATCCTGGAGCCGCTGGCCGCCTCCATCAACCCCCTCAATGACCACTGGACCTTAAGGGACTACGCAGCGCTGCTGCTCAGCCACATCTTCTGGTATGACTGACCACCCATAAAGATACACTATATATACAGTACATATATGTACAGTATAATGACTAGACTGTGGACAAAGCCCCTCAGACCATGGCAGTTTGACTGATACACTTATAGGTTCATGAAAAAACCAAAGGCCTGCACACTGTAATGCTCCTAATACCACCTTTGAATAATGTTTTGGTCCAAAGTGGACCATCTTAGTCTCTGTATGTGACACTGTCAACAACAGAATCATAGCCATCTTCGATCTATTGTCTGTTGACGTAATTCTCTCCTAAAACTGTGTCTTTGTCAGGACCCATGGAGACCTGGTCAGTGGTCTGTACCACCAGATTCTGCTGTCTCTGCAGAAGGTTCTGTCAGACCCGGTCCGCCCGCTGTGTTCTCACTATGGAGCTGTAGTGGGGCTACACGCACTCGGATGGAAGGTAACTACATTTCCTCTACCTTGATCATCTTTGAATGAGAGTATATTTTCTTTAATTTATCTGTTGGTTCATTTTAGGATCCTTGCCTTTGCTGATCACTGTCTGTGTGTGTCTGTCTTTGTAGGCTGTTGAGCGAGTGTTATATCCCCACCTGCCAGCTTACTGGGCTAACCTGCAAGCTGTCCTGGATGATTACTCAGTCTCCAATGCCCAGGTGAAAGCAGATGGACACAAGGTCTACGGAGCCATCCTGGTAAGTGCAGCAGACCAGTCACTGAGTGAAATGTTTTATGTTTTCTGTGATGCGAACTAGAGAACGACCGATAATCGGCCAGGCTGATATATCGGGCCGATATTGGCCTTTTCTAGTCTTTCGGCTATCGGCCCTTCTCTATTGGCTTTGTCGACAATCCCTCTACATAGTAAAGCTGCTGCTCTGCCAGCCGCCACTCACTGCCTGAGCCACGAGTACTGCACAATGCTGATGAATGTCTAGCTGGGTAAATCTGCAGCAAGCTAGCGCATTCTCCAACAGAAAGGTGCAGTATTGATGAATTGACACAATTGACACAGTGACTCCTCTTGCAAATATTAGTTGAGTTAATTAACTTCTAATAAGGCTCATGTCGAAGTGCCCGGACATGCATGCAATAAGCAAGCTATCTAAGCAGATAGCTATGTGATCAGTTAGCAAAAATTACTATAACAAACCTTTAATCTGTGGTGTTAGCTAGGTAGCTAGCTATATTAGCTACTATGACATTTGACTCATTTAGCAGACCCTCTTATCCTGAGCGACTTACATTAGTGAGCGCATACTTTTTCCTTACTAGTCCCCCATGGGAATCGAACCCATAACACTGGCATTGCAAGAACCATGCTCTACCAACTGTGCTACACAGGACTGTACTATGCTGGCTAGATAAACATGGTGCTAAGATATCAGCTAATAGCCAACATAACTAGCTAATGTTAGCTGGTTCTCATTTTTAACATGCACCATTTTCGGCATTGCGGTGTAACGTTAGCTATTTACTGGTGTGCTGATCTGACCAGCAGCTATCGTGTCTGTAAATTGACAGTTGATAGTCGGATTAGATTATTATCATAATGGGGAAAGAAGGAAGTGTATTTAAAATGCCTAAATAAAGGTTGTCAATAGGTTTAGCTACCTAAGAATCTTCCTACATGTTTATGGACCAAGAAAGCTGTAGATCTCTGCCCGTGTGTGCGTTCTCACTTCTCAAATGATGGTTTCTAGTTTCATAAGCCCCCGTGATCACAAATCATGACATTATGTTGGACCCATTTGCATTGAATAAATGTTATTTTATATTCTCAAACTAACAGCAGTGCCTATGTCCTTCCATACAGGCGTGACACACTTGAGTGATGCTTTTATGCAAATGTTGTTGATCAGTATGCTAATATAGTCCCAAATGGAAGGCAAACAGATTGTCATCTGTAGCACCATAGACTCCATCTATCAGTCAAAACAAGCTCAATAACTCAATGCTTGCACACACTCCTATTGAATATGCATTCACCTGTATTTTGAGTAGGCCTATGCCATCTTAATTAACCCAGTTTATCAAGAGATTTACCATTCAAATACAATTATTATTAACATTGTTGTTAATGTAATGTACAAAGTCAAATGTATTGTTTGATTAAAAAATATCGGCCTAAAATATCGGCCTCCTTGACCCAAATCGGTATCGGCCCTAAAAAATCCATATCGGCCGTTCTCTAATGAAAACAAAGCTTTCCAATGTAATACAAGAGATTCCCAATAATGTATTGTTACGAATTGCATTTATGTTGCGCCTTTCACCCGATCTCAAAGCGCTTTAAATGTATATATTGGTAACGCTACCTATCAACCACCACTGCACCCACAAAGTACCAATCCCCTCTCTGTCCTGCAGGTGGCGGTGGAGCGCCTTCTGAAGATGAAAGCTCTGTCTCTGTCCCAGCCAAGGGAGGGGAGCGGCAGCACCCAGCCGGGCTCTGGGGGCGTGATGGGTTTCAGGGTGAGTTCCCCCGGGCTCAGCCCCCCTCCAGAGCCCCTCTCCGAGGCCGCCCTGGGCATCGCCAGCCACCTGCAGGGACCTGGGGGGGCCGGCACCCCCTGGGATGACTGGACCCCCGTCCCCTTGCCCGCCATGTACTGTGAGCTCTACTCCTTCTTCGGCGACAGCCTGGCGGTGCGCTTCAGCACGGGCCCCAGCTTGGGAGGTTTCCCCCCTTCAGCCCCCTCCCAACCCCCTGATACGAGGAAGGAGCCCCCTGGTCCCGCTGCCAACCCAGACACCACGCGCAAGATGCCCCAGCTCACTGCTAACCTCAACATCAGCCCCCGGCAAGACGGGAGCCCTCGCACCGAGCCCGCCCCACCCAGTCTAGCTGCCACTGCTCCAGGAAGGTAATGTAGCATCTGTGGGACTAGTTAAAAAGGCACAACTCTCACTCTTAAAGTAAAAAATTAACTTTATTTATTTAGATTGCGTACATAAATGTACAATTTACAATGCAAATAAATAATAATATCTATCTCATCTTACCCATTGTCCACATTGCTTAGTAGTCAAAAAATGCTAATGTTAAGAAGTGATAATGAGTGATGTGATCAGAGCGGGTGTCTCGCAGACCATAGATATCCTGTTTAAACCACACCATAGAGAAACGGGAGAAAGAAAGACAACCAGACAGACACCAGCTTTCTGTCTGGACCAGCTAACACTCCACACACCTTTTAGGATTTAAAAAAATATTAAATCAGGAACCACACCTGTGTGGAAGCACCTGTTTTCAATATACTTTGTATCCCTCATTTACTCAAGTGTTTCTTTTATTTTGGCAGTTACCTGTACCACTTGAAGGCTGAAGTTATTTAGCTGCTATAACTAACATGTTCCTTTTACCTCCTCTCTATTTCCTTGTCTCAGGTCCCTGGCTCGCTCTTCCTCCTCATCCTCCATCCAGCGCAGAAACTCCTCCTCCCGGCCGGGACAGCGCTCAGCGGGTCCATCCCGCGACGTGTTCACCAAGGCCCGTTTCCCCCCTCCTCATCCCGGACCCCCCACCTTCTCCTTCCTCATCGGGGGGCGTCAGATGGGCCGGCGCTGCCAGGGGCGGCGCTTCCAGACCAGCTTCAGCCCTCCCCCACCCCTGTCCACCGTACCGCCCCGTGCCTACGCCCACAAGCTGCCCGTCATCGGGAGGGTGGGCAAGCCAGTGCGCCGCTGGACCTGCTCCCACTACTCCCTGCACCTGCCCCTCTGAGAGAAAAGAGAGACTATGGTTGAGGGTCAAGGGTCAAGGCCTTAGAACATGCTGAGGCTACCTCACTGCTCAGTAGTGCAAGTGGAGTTCCCTATATCCTCCCTCCCTATACAGCCTGTGACATAAGAGGTAGACTATGCCTAGACGAAAAGCACATTAGGCGGGAGGGACCCTACTAGAGCCACATAAGAGAGACTGACTCACATACACCACTCCAAGCCCTAATGCTGCTTTCAAAACAACTGGGAACTTGGAAATCTCCCACTTCAGTGCGTCCAAGACAGCTGGGAACTCCATTTTTTTTGTCCAAGACAACTGGGAACTCATTTTTTTTGTTGTTGATCCGACTGTGAAAACTCGTTTTTAATAGTCATCAACTTGGAATTCCAATTCAGAAACTCGGGCATCGTTCTAGAGCTCAGATTTTCCAACCTGAAAGTCACTAAAGTCATGATTTGACCTTGTTTTTTCCTGAGTTCCCAGTTGTCTTGAAAGCACCATAAGGACACAGGATAGAATACTAGTTTGACAACTTCAGACTGTCTTGCCTGCAGGGGCTGGCCTGGGGTGTGTTGAATAGTGGAATCCATGGACATGGAAGGAGCATTCACACCGAGCTGAGATCTTGACACCATGTGAGATAACATCTTAAAACACGGACAATGCATTTTCTACTATGTACCTGAGAGTAATTTTGCCATCCTGTACATGTATATAGACGATAGCCAATATCCTAAAATAAATATTCTTACAATATTACATATTTTCCACTTCCATTCCTTATTATGTGTTTTCGACAGCTTTTTCCTATCTAATTAGAATTTCAATTCATTTCCAGAATTGACATAATTCCATTTAGTTTCTATTGAGTTGTCTCAATGTGTGGAGCGGTGTTTTGAATCGTGTTTTAAATATTTAAAACTAGTGGCTCACCTGCGTCTGAGTGTTTGGTTACCTACTCTAGTGACACGCAGCAAAGTCAGCCTGACAAACAACCATGGTCTGTTGGGTCGACTGGTTCCAGAGGTTCTGTCAGAGCCATGCCTTCTGGTTCCTGCTCCTCAGCTATGTCCTCTTCACACTCTTTGGGGGTCTGGTGCTCATGGCCATTGAGCAGCCCCAGGAAAACAAGCTCAGAGCACAGGTCCTTGAGCTCCGAGAGCACTTTCTGAGGGACAACCACTGCGTGCCGGAGAGCAGGCTGGATACAATTATCGGGAAAGTGTACTTTTCTGCTAATCGGAACATTGCTGTCTTAGACACACACAGAGATGATAGGAGCTGGGATTTGATATCGTCCATGTTTTTTGTGATCAACGTTTTGACTGTCAGAGGTAAGAAGAAAAAATCCATAGAATAAATTTAAGCTTGTTGATTCAACAGTTAGATTGAAATGATGTAGGTTTTATTATTTATTGTAGGTCCAAATAATCACAGATTGAGCCACTTGAATAGTAGGATTTTGTTTGTAATGCTTCAAGTTCTCTCATGCGCAAGGTAGTTTGTTATTGAGGCTAGTATAGCTACATCCTGTTGCCGCGGGCCAAAGTCAGGTGCAAAAATTAAAAGCTGGCTTTAGGGCCTATGTAGATGTGTACACACGTCTCACAACTACCCTAGTAAAACATGCTTTGGTTACTTGTTCCACATGGAAGTCAAAATCCCTCTTTTGCTGAAATCCCCTTTTTATGCCGACTGTTTCTTCCCAGGTTATGGCAACTCTAGTCCCCTATCGGATGACGCCAAGCTTTTCTGCATCTTCTACAGCCTGCTGGGCATCCCCCTCACCCTTTTCGTCCTCTCCTGCCTGTCTGACCTCTTGCTGCCCATCCTTACCCATGTTCCTGTGCGCCACCTCCAGACCTACTGGGGCCTGCCTTACAGCCAGGCAGTGCTGCTCCATGCCAGCCTCTTCTCCCTGGTCCTGGCGGTACTCCTGTTCCTGCTGCCCGCCACCAGCCTCTGCTACCTGGAGCCAGAGTGGAGCTTCCTGGACGCCCTGTTCTTCTGCGTGGTTACCCTCAGCACCATCGGCCAGGGGGACTACCTACTGGGGAAAAGGCGCAACGAGGCCACCAAGGAGTGCATGGAATTCCTCACCTCCTGTGAGAGTAGCCATGGCAGAGTTGGGATCAATTCCATTTGGACTTTTTTGCAGTTGATTTCAGAATTGGCAGGGATCAAGATGGAAATGGAATTGACCCTAATCCTGACTAGTCCTTCACACAGGCTTCCGCTTCCCCTCTTGTCCTCACAGCTTTGTGATAATTGGATTTATCTGTCTCATATGTCTGCCGTTTTTCTCCACAGGTTATTTAATGGCTGGCATTGTGGCGATTCTGACTTTCCAGGAGACTGCCACGGAGGTGCCACAGGTCCAAGCAGTGCTCCAGCTGTTCTGTGGACCACAGGACAGAGAAGTGAAGGGAACAGACCTGGATGAGATGGTGCTCAGTGCAGAGGACTCTGGAACCCCTCTGGACGTCTCCCCCTGTCCTCTGGAGCAGCCTGCACCCCTGTCCCCTGACCAGCCGAATCCCCAAGAGCCTGACCCCCAACCTATTCTGAGGTAGCCAGAACACTGTTCCCAACTCCCACCATTAGCATTCAAAAACATTGAAATATATGGGTGAGTGATTTGAGACTGTGTGCTGCTATAATCAGGTTATGTTGCTAAAATACTTTGTCTTGTGGACTGATACATTTATTTATTTGTTTGTAAAAGAACAATTATTTGAATTTGACCACTAAATGCAATCTAGTCTACATGTTAACTGCTTAAAGGGATACTTCGGGATTTTGGCAATGAGGCCCTTTATTTACTTTGCCAGAGTATGATGAACTAGCACAATTGCTAACTAGTGCTAGCGTAATGACTGGAAGTCTATGGGTATCTGCTAGCATGCTAGCAGGAGGTCTATGGGTACCTAGCATGCTAGCAGATGCCCATAGACTTCCAGTCATTGCACTAATGCTAGTTAGCATTGGCTTGCGAAACTACCTCCAACTTCCTTCATACTGGACACGGAGACATAAAAATGCTATCTACGAGTTCATCTGACTCTGGGGAAGTAGATAAAGGGCCTCATTGCCAAAATCCCAAAGTATCCCTTTAAATTTGAGGTCATTGATTGTAAATAAAATACTATATCATATTGCATAGATAATATTGATTTAGACTTACTATAATGATGTCAATCAGGTGATGAGGTAACTTTCTCTATGATTGTAAACCCCTGAGAGAAGGGTTGAGTTTGTGTATTCTGGTTGTGTTTGAATTATACAAAACTGTTTAGTGACAAGACATCCTCTCCCAGTGTGTTTTGCGAAGATAAAAAGTGATCGAATATCTGAAAGCCAGACAGTCTAATCAAGTACTAATAACAGACATCTGCATTTGCAGTGCCAGTTGTGCTATCTTTGTCATATAGGCCCATGAGTTAAGGTGTGTCTTGAGAAACAAAGCATTCCCATTTCTCCCACTCCATACTATGACTTAAAATGAACAGATTTGTATGACGTATTCCAAAAACAATTGTTAGGATCGAAGTCCTACACTTTCCTATTACAAGTGCTAGTCATCTAAATGACTTGCAACACAGTCAGTCCCTGATGAATGTAATGGCTTAGGACTGTCCTGATCATGAATGCACTAAACAGGTGTGGTGTGTATATATATATATATATATATATATATATTTTGTTTGTTTTTTTGTCTGTCGTTTTCACGCATTTTTATACTGAGCATGCTCTGTACATGTTTTGTTGTAATGTCATAATGCCCCTTTCTTTCACTGAATAAAATGGGAAATGTACCATATCTTGTGAGTGGAGCTCTCTGAAGCTTTGCCATTGACAGCAGCCCAGTTAGTCAGTTCTGCCCTGCTATGACTCTGTATGAAAGAGAGGGGGCCCATGGGACATGAATCAGAGCCCTGTGCCAGGTACTGGCAGCCCTGGCACCCTACCAGTCAGCCTCATAGTCAGCCTCATAGTCAGCCTCATAGTCAGCCTCATAGTCAGCCTCTCAGGTAGCCTCTCAGGCAGCCTCTCAGGCAGCCTCTCAGGCAGCCTCTCTGCCTCTATAAACACATCATCCATGGTAGTGCTTATTGGGTCATTTTTTAGGTCCTTGAACTGGATGTGGGTATGAATTGAGGTGGAGGGTGGTGTCTTCCTGGTTGTCAATCTCACTGTTGCTAAGATTTGTAGCAACTGGTCATGTTAGCTTAGTAGCTGATCACTGACTGAGCAGACTGACTGATCTACAAATCATAATTAGTAGTTATTTAAGGATGTGAGGTGATTTGTAGATCAGCCAGTCACAGACTGATCAGAATTGATGCCCTCAAACACAGCCACTCTTATTCCTGGTTCATGGATTAACCGTCCCGTCATGTGCCGCCCTTTGGCTGAGTCACAGGCTGAGGCTGGTATGCACTGGTCAGAGGAACAACGGCGGAGGGATCAGAGGTGATATGACAGTCGTGATACCCTGTCGCCAGACGGGTTCATAAGTGTTGTGTTGATGACCCCCCCCCCCCCCACCCACGCATGCCCCTGACTGGTCACTCTTATTTATGAGTACTGAGCAACTGTGGGTCACATAGGATCCCCAGGACCAGGTGGAGAATCTGTCACTCCCTTTGACACACACACATACAGACACACGTACGCACACAGAGAAGGGGGATTCCCAACCAGGTGGTCGCATGATCTAACTCATTGCCTCATGGGACACAGACTGGTGTCTTGTGATTGCTGTAGGCATATACCGTAACTATCGACATACAGCATATCTGTCATAGTGCAGTCTCAAAGACCATAGGTAGTTTTTAGTGCTAAATTTAGAGGGGAATACAGTGATCTGACTGTGCAAAATCTGATCTGGTACAAGGAATATATAGCTGCTCTTTTAATCCAAGAACACGTGATTGTATACATTACAAAAGCCCTATATGAACTCTTAAATCCTAAAGGCCTCAATTAGTGTTACGATGTTCAGTGACCTTGTTAACATTTTTCCAGTGTGTGTCTCTGGGTTCTTGCTGTCACCCTCCCCTTGATTTTGATGGACAGTCGGCAGGTGTTTGGCCCTGTGCATCTATATTTATCAAGGTCGGGACTATGGGACGTAACTGCATGCTGCAGTGGCTATGATCTCTCTCCATGACTCATATAACCACCATGTTATTTTCCACTCCTAGAAAGAGAGGAACATTATGGCCTCGTCCCTTTACTTAGTCAAATATTTAGTTGTCAATATTCCTCTAAATTCTAATGTGAACTGCAGTTTCAACTTTGTCACATAGAAAACATTTGTGACAGGTAATCAACTTGGCCACTAGCCTTAACGATTGCTCTGGCGACCTCTTGTGGCTGAGACTTCCCGCCTATCCATCCTCTACCAATTATGTCAACTAACCTGGACAACATCCTTATTTTAAAGGGAGCTCAGTCAATCTCGTTAGAGACATGACATGTTGTACCCCATTTTAGCTCTAAATCCTCAGTTTGAAGTCCGCTGTCTGCATACAGTTTCCCTGAAGTGCCATTTCTCCCAGCACATCCTGTGGACCCAGATGGCACTGAATGACACAAGTGGGGCCCTGCAGCTGGAAAACAGGAAGTGCAGCGACCAATAGGTGGCCCACCAACAGGAAAATTATTGTTGTGGAAACATTACCTCTAAATAACGCCGTAAAACCTGTCTAGATTAGTTAATAATGGAGGGGGTGGGAGGTAACAGCACTGAGCCTTTTTCTAAAATGTTTTATGAGATTGGAGAACACTTTGGCAGGGAATTTAGACCGTTCCTCCGTACAGAATCTTTCCAGATTCTTGATATCCTTCGTATGTGCTTATGGACTGCCCAGGTTTTCAATGGGCTTCAGAGACTGAAATGGCCATTGTAAAATGTTGATTTTTGTGGTCAATTAACAATTTCTTTGTGGATTTTGATGTGCGCTTGGGGTTATTGTCTTGCTGGAAGATCCACTTCCGGCAAAGTTTCAGCCTCCTGGCAGAGGCAACCAGGTTTTTGGCTAGAATATTCTGGTACTGGGTCAAACTTCATGATGCCATTGACCTTAACAAGTGCCCCAGGACCAGAGGAAGCAAAATAGCCCCATAACATCACATTTCCACCACCATATTTTACAGTAGGTTATGGGGTTATTTTCTGCTTATGCATCCTTATTTCGACACCAAACCCACCACTGGTGTGTGAGGCCAAAAATCTCAATTTTCATGTAATCTGACCATAGTGCCAGTTCCAATCCAAATGCCAATGTTGTTTAACAAACTCCAGGCGTTTACATTTGTTGGATGACATGAAAATAGAGCTCTTCCCTTCCACTTTTCTTCTCAGAGCCAGCAATAAACTCCACAGCTGCCTGTGTCTGTCAGCGTTGCACCACTGCTTATAAATAAACCCCAGAGTAAACTGAAAAAGACCCTGCTATTAGGTACAGTGTACTGTAGCCTATGGTTTGCTGTATGAAGGGACTAAGCAAGAGCATATTGCCCTGAGATGTTTCCTGGCCCTCCAAATATCCAGGTCTCACATGTCCCCCAGTTATTTTTTGTAGGCTACTGGTACCTGTTGAATACCTCTTACCACACCTCAGCAAAACCAGGAACATAGTGGGTTTATTACCATGGGATTACATTGGCATGTCTCCCTCCCCAACCCCCAAACACAGTGCACCTTTTGACTCAAAAAAAGATCAATTGCTTCCCATACTCTCTCAAACAATGGACTAGTTACAGTTGCAAAAACAAGGAGATGCTTTCCTATTTTTCAGACTTGTATTATTTTTTATACCAGTAGAATATTATTTAAATAACATACTTGTTAAATGTACATTTAAGACATAGGGTACAAGTGAAAATGCGATCACTATTGATGTTTACTAAAGTGTTATTGAATGAGAAATTGTTTAATGTTCATATCAAGTTTTTTGCTTGGGGTGTCGTCTCACTGCTCGGATCTGTCGCGGCGTGCGTTTGTTTTGCCTCAATTCTGTGTGACATTCGGGACATGTGAACACCAGTCAGACTGTTGAACAGTGAGTGAACATCGACGGTCTTTCTTTCGCAGCAAACGCAAGTGCTGCGGCAACAGACTGGTGTCTCCCCAAGCAGTGCGCAAGGAGGACAGAGGGGGACTGTGGCGAGGATTTTTACCAATGTCTCTAGAGAAAACAACATTATAGTCTCTAAACATGACTTCAGTTTGGAAGAGACTTCAGCGTGTCGGCAAGAAAGCCTCGAAATTCCAGTTTGCGGCGACTTTTCAAGAACTGACGGTAGAATGCACGAAGAAATGGTAAGTGAACATAATTTACATTTGAGTCATTTAGCAGACGCTCTTAGTCTTATCCACAGCAAATTAAAGGAGCAAATAGGGTTAAGTACCTTGCTCAAGGGCATATCGACAGATTTTTCACCTAGTCAGCTCGAGGATTCGAACCAGCGACCTTTCGGTTACTGTCCCAACGCTCTTAACAGCTAGGCTACCTGCCACCCTTTACTGGATTTAGCCTTGATAAAGTTGTCACGTCTGAACCGA